GATAGCTCTTGTTGTTGTTTGCTGGTCTCACGGTTTCTATGATGCACGTGTTTGAATACTTAAGTGCTTTTGCGGAGTGGGTTCATCTGGCCAATGTGTTGTTTTTCTTTCATAGTAGTCTGGCCTCCTCTGATTCTAGTGTTTTCAGTCGTCTTGAAGCCGTGACGTGGGAGAAGGAGTTGCACTATTTACATATTCGTTGCTGGTGTATAATTTACTTCCAGGGATACAGCTGTTGAAATAATACGTTTACCACTTTAGGGCATTTGAACTCTTTTAGCAGAATTGGAGTTAATAGTCGAAGTTCTTCGGTAGTTTTTTGATGGAGTTGCGGAACTTTGATGAGAAAACTTGAAGCCTAGTCTTCTGTGTTACAAGTGTGAATAGATATATTGAAAAAACTTAACAGACAATCCAGCGATGGCCTGATGTTTTTCTCTACGCCGTATTTTGGCCGTTTAGTGAAGTCGTTAAATGTGAAGGCTTGGTCAGCAATAGCGCTTCGTAGGAATTCCTTCACTTTGGCTGAGTCAACTGGGAGTTGGTTTCGCTAATGAAAAGGGACACTGAACAATTGCATACCAATCTGGATGTTTGCATAAAGAGGCCCTGGTCCTGCGAAGAGGAGAACTGGCTTTGGTGCACTTCACTTATCTTATTAGAGACTGAAGAAATTAGTATGATTTACTAACCCAGGAGTTTCAGGTATGCCAATTAATTGGGCGAAGAGCTGATACTAGGTGCGAAGTAGTTCTGAATGTGTTTTCCAGTCTCCTATGTCCCAACACGTGTGAGTTCTTAATTTTTTTTTCAATCTTGTGACGTCATGCATCTTTTCTGTGTAGGAATTGTGTTCTCTCTGGGGAAATATCATCCCTAACAGCAGCTAGTGAATAGCGAAGCAAAAATGGTAATAATGGCGATGGAGATGGAAGCATTTCTGTGTGGAGACAACTTTGTTTGCTCCCAGGAAAGGCTCTCTCTCCTTGTTTCTCAGTTGAAGAGGATAAGGAGAACGTCTTCGTGCAGTACAGTGTTTGGAGTGCCCAAATAGTCTGCACTCTTTGATCAAGGATTTTCTTGCCCTATTTGACAAAATGCGATTCTTTTAGCCCTACGTCCAGAGGATCAGAGATGGTCAATCACAGTCTCATGGCACCGTGTATGTGGGAGGAGGTGAATGCCCAAAAGGTTGCGTCCTAGGCGGGACTTCAAAAGTCTAGAAATCACTTGCCTCCGTCCTCCGCTTTCTTCACCGTGGGTGCAGCTGCTGTCTCGGTGATTGCCATGTGGTAGGAGTTACAGTAAGTGCTTAGCCCTCGCCACCTTCGCCGCATGCTTTATATTCTAATTTCTGCAAATGAGCTCAATGTCAACTATTTAAAGTCTGTTCTTTATTGGTGTGTTATAATTGACCAATTTAAAGTGTCTGGGGCCTAGTAGTTGAGCCTAAAGCAATAAAATGGACGTAGAAGCCTCTTTTTGTTAAGTAAATGCACGTATTTTTTCAAACAAGTTGGTTATCTAGTTTGATAGTCCGTGTATGAATGAGAATGAAACAGTAAAGCATATGGTCTGTGGTGAATGTGGGGTCATGTTCTGCTGCTGCATAATCCCTTCCGTGGTGTGCTATAAGAATAGGTCGTTCAGATGTGTTGTGAGATGGTGGGGTTTTGCTTTTGTTGAAAAAAACGGTGAGCCGATAAAACACCTAGGATAGTGGTATCCCCTCAAACGTTGGTGGCTTATCTTTTCTTTTTTAACACTTATCGTAACGACTTCTATATAATTATTTTTCTTCATTTTCTTCCTCGTCTCTCCGTTGAAATGTAGTAGAGTTGCCATTATCAACTAGCATTTCTTAGTATTTCATGCTTTATTTCGGACTTCAGTCTGAAAATTGATT